GTCTGAGTTGGCTAAACGGAACTTAATCTTGGCAAGGGACTTGTTCTGTGCCTCACAGGGTGTGGCAGGCGAGGACTGCACATGTCCCCCCGCCCGACACCCATGCCCTAATCCCTGGCATCTGTGAATGTCACCTCTGTGGCCAACAGACCAAGTTCAGAGCCTCAAGATGGGGAGGCCGTGGTGGAGTACACAGCGGGCTGGACGTATTCATCGGATCCTTACAGGAGCAAGGCCAGAGGGCACAGTCACTGACGGTGACACAAGGGGAGCAGAGGGACAGAGGGACGCCTCTTCGCTGGCTCCCAGGGTGCAGTTTGGGACCTCAGGCCAGGAACACAGGGGTGCTTGCAAGGCTACCTTAGAGCTCTCTGACACCTTCGACGGAGCATAGCCCTGTGGACTCATCCCAGCATCTCTGACCTAAGTACATGTTGTTTTAACCAAATGAATGGATGGTAATTTGTTAGAGAAACAAGAGGAAATTAATATATACGGCATTCATCAGGATACAATCATCTGACACAGGCGAGAGTTGTGGCACATGGGGATACCTGTTCCGGAAGAACCTAGCATTCCACAGGGTCACTGTTTTGATTCCTGGCTGATCTACTTCCAACCCAGCTCCCTGCTAATGCACCCTGGAAAGCAGCAGAACACGGCCCAAGTATGTGAGCCCGAGCCAGCCATGTGGGAGACCAAGAAACTCCTGGTTCCTGGCTTCAGCCAGGCCTTGCCCTAACTACTACATTCATTTGGGGAATGTACTATCAGTAGATCTCGCTCTCTTTTCCCTTCTGTCCATATTTCTTTCCCATTAATAATCTTTACAAATAAAGAAATCAATAATCTCACATAGGGCCCAGCACATTAGCCTAGCAGCTAAAGTCCTCACCTTGCACATGCCAGGATCCTATATGTGCACCAGTTCTAATCCTAGAGGCCTCATTTCCCATCCAGCTCCCTGATTGCAGCCTGGGAAAGCAGTCGAGGACGGCCCAAAGCCTTGGGACCCTGCACCCATGTGGGAGACCTGGAAGAGGCTCCTGGCTTCAGATTGGCATAGCATCAGCCGTTGCGCTCACTTGGGGAGTGAATCATTGGATGGAAGATCTTCCTCTCTGTCTCTCCTCTCTACATATCCACCTTTCCAATAAAAATTAAAAAAATAAATAAATAAATCTTTAAAAAAAAATACAGCAGGCAAAGTTGCTGTCTGTGACATCAGGCTCCCATATGGACGCAGGTTCGAGTCCCAGCTGCTCAACTTCTGATCTAGCTCCCTCACAAACTGCTGGCAAAGGAGTAGAATACGGCCCAAGTCCTTGGGTCTATACACTCACACGAAAGAAGCTCCAACAGATGGAAGTTCTCTCTCAGATGTCTCTCTCCTTTTCTAACTCTGCCTTTCAAATAAATAGTATTTAAGAAAAATAAATTTTAAAAAATGGAAAAGAAATAACCTAGAATCCATGAGACAAAGAAGTACTTCAGAGGTTAACGAAGTTTTGAAATTTCATGTCTCTCTGAGGTCAAAATTCATATCCCTTGATCACAGAATAAACAAATATACAGGATAGTCAACATAACCTTGTTTGTAACAACTCAAATATCCACCAAAAGGATAAAATGACAGGGAAACAAAAAACAAACATTTCAAGTATTTATTTACTATGCGTGGTGATGAGCCTCGTGGCAAGCAGCGCTAAGTTGCTGCATGGAACACCCACCCCTTGCCACAACGCCTGGTACGCTCCTGGCTGTTCTGCACCCAACCCAGCTTGCCGCCAATGCACGTTGGAGGCAGGTAATGGCTGGTGCATTTGAGTCCTAGCCAGCAATGGGAAACCCCAAAGGCGCTCCTTAGCTATTGCGGGGACTTAGCGATATGGAACAATGGATGAAAGACCCCTTTTGGTGTCACTCTGCCTCTCAAATACTTTTAAAAATAAAAATGAAGAGTATAGGGCTTGGTGCAGTTGTTTAACGGCTAAAGTCCTTACCTTGCATGCACCAGGATCCCATAGGGGGACTGGTTCGTTTCGGAGCAGCCCTTCTTTCTGTCCAGGTCTCTGCTTATAGCCTGGGAAAGCAGTGGAGGACGGCTCAAAGCACTGGGACCCTGCACTGGAGTGGGAAACCCGCAGGAGGCTGCTAGGTCCTGGCCACAGATCGATGCATGCCTGGCCATTGCAGCCACTTGGGGAGTGAATCAGCAGACGGATGATTTTCCTCTGTCTCTCCTCTCTTTATGTCTGACTTTCCAAAAATAAATAAATAAATAAGTCTTTTTTAAAAATTAACAGTATACATATCTACATATATATTTAAAAGATTTATTTATTTTTATTGCAAAGTCAAATACACAGAGAGGACAGACAAAGATCCGATGATTCATTCCCCAAGTGACCCCAACCGCCAATGCTGTGCTGATCCAAAGGCAGGAGTCAGGAACTTCTTCCGGGTATCCCACAGAGCTGCCAGGTGCCAAGGCTTTGGGCCATCCTCGACTGCTTTCCCAGGCCACAAGCAGGGAGCTGGATGGCAAGTGGAGCTGCCGGGATTAGAACTGGCGCCCATATGGGATCCCGGTACGTTCAAGGTGAGGACTTTAGCCACTAGGCCATCGTGCCTGGCCCACATCTATATTCTTAAAAACAAATGAAAAAATCCTAGAAGGACAAACAGTTTTATTTTTTTTTTTTTGGTTTTTGGGTTTTTTTTTTTCCCAGACAGAAACGTTTATTTGCGAAGGAACCAGGTGAGCAGGGAAAGGCGAGGGAAGGGGAAAGCCCCTCTGGAGAGAAAGCCTGGAGCTGGGGTGCCTCTCGAAAGGGGAGGGAGACACCCGGACATACAGTTTTAATAGTTAGTGGTGACTGTTCTAAGTGACCAAGAATAGGAAGGAAGCTTTCCATTTAATATTTTTAAATTATTTTAATAAGTTATATATGTGCCATTTTTAAAAAAGCATAGTTTGATATGCGACATCACCAATGAGGCAACAGGTATGCACATGTCAGTATTGTGCGTACTATATTACACAGGGTAGGGAGGTGCAGGGAAGTTACTGGTTTATCCCAAATCTTCCTTTCACTGGGGGAAAGTGACAGTAACCCAAACTGACCTTCCCAAGACTGCCAATAAACAAAAAGAATCGATAGCGAAACCAGCAAGAGATCATCCACATACAAGTGTTCCATTTATAAGCTATTTATTCTACTGTATTGCCTAATATGCATAATCCATAACGAAGACACTATCGCTAACGAGGGAGGCAGGATGGCATCTGGGTCACACTTCTACAATGCCGTAAGCTCCTCTCCAACCCACAAAGAAAAGTCTGTGTTAGCAAAGTACTCAGCTGACAATGGGACTACACGGGAAGTTTGATGTAACTCGTTTTCATAAACTTCTCCAAGGAGGAAAATAAGAGGTTTGAATACTAGTTAGTGAGTGAGGGAAGTTTCTCAAACAATAGTGGACGCAGGAACTCCTCCCATCTGCAGCCATGAATGACTGAATCAAGGGACCAAGGATACTGAAATAGCCAATTCATCCCAGACGCTGTGTGCCAGGTCCTGTGGCCAATGCTTCCCATTCCAGATCTCTGAATCTTCAACAATCCGGTAGTGACAGTGACACTGGCTCACGCTTCAGTGGTCACAGAGCCGGTGAGTGGGGAACTAGATGGGAATCCAGGCCATCCACCGTTAAAAGCCCACCTCAAAGTGCACCCTTCACGCTATCCCTTCTGGACAGATGTGTTGTGACCACATGGACCACATGCTGTCTGCGCCTCACCTGGAGCTCAAGCAACCCACAGTCATTCTGTTTCCCTGAGGCCCCCTGAGAGGAGGAATCTTAATCTCCTGGGCATCTTGGCTGGTTGGTTGGCTGTTTTCCCTTGCCATGCCTTTACTGCCTGTGGCAGTTAAGTATAAATTGCTGATAACAATTTGAAGCAGTGACCTTGAGGCTGGTAATGAGGATGAAAGCAGGCCTTCAAGGGTAGGGCTCCCCTGGTGGCAGAGGCAAGAAGAGAGTTAAGCTGACACACCCATGCTCCCTATCACTAGTGCTTCCTCAGCACCCCTGCAAAGCGGACAGAGGCCTTGACCCCTCACCAGATGCTAGGACCATGCTCTTTGGTCTTCCGAGCCTCCAGAAAAAACGAACTCAGCAGACTCTGACTCCTTCCAAATCACCTGGTCTCAGTTCTTACCACAGAAATAGACTGAGAAACCTAGACATAAAGACACCATCCCCAGAGAATGCCTTCCTTATTTAACAGCACTGCCTGTCTTTCTAAAATCAGATAACAAGCTTGTGTCTTTGTGCTCAGCCTTTGCACAGACCCACTATTAGTGTTTCTTCCCTTGGAGTGGCAGTCCCTCATCAGTGACAGTAACAACCTGCTAAAGTGTTCCCATTCACAACTGTTTCTAGCCAGTTCTTCCTACTGATACTAATAATAATACTAACAGCAGCTACCACACTTTGAACATTTATTATGCAGTGTCTTGAGACAAGAAAGCAGGGCTTATCCCCACCTCATAGATAAGAAAACTACAGCAAGTCAGCCCAAGGTCAAGTAGCTGGTAACTAAAGCTGACACCCTGTAACTGAAACCTTCAGAAGTCTTGCTTTTTAAATGATTCAAATGTAAGCTACTTTTGAATTTTTTTTTGAATATATACTTATTTGTTGGAAAATAACGACAGGGAGAGAGACCCAACAGGCAGTGCTTCCATGAGCGGAACTGCTCCCCAAAGCCAGGAACTAGGAACTTAACCTGGCTCTGCCACATTGGGCAGGAATCAATGTACTAGAGCCACCACCTGCTGTCCCCCTAGGTGCGCATCAGCAGGAAGCAGAGCTGGAAGTGGAGCTCCAACATGGGCCATGGGAGCACTGCGCAGTTTCTCGGCTTTGGCAAACCTGCATATTACCTCCCAACAGCACCAGCTCTGCGGATCCCTCTGTGCCCAGGAGCTTACCTGAATTTCTTCATTTTCATCAACTAGGAGGAAACTCACAACCTTCTCAGTCATCTTCTTCCTCTTGGTCTCCTCATCCATCTCCTCTGCCTCCAGAGACTCCTGGGCCTTGCCGGCAAGATACACGGTAATGGGATGCCTTCTCTTGTTACTTGTGGAATGAGTCCTCTTCTGGCATTCCAGGCACAAGTTGATTTTGCAGGCCTGGCACCTCACTGCGGCCCTCTGGCGGCCCCCTGGCGAATGCCCATTGGGGCCCTTACAGTGGTCACAGTAGGGCACGTGGCCAGCCTTGAGGCGGATGCGCTCATGGTTGCGCCTGCGCTCCTGCCGGTGTAGCTCCTCCTCACAGCGCAGACACTGCAGGCTACAGCACTCATCGCACTCAAAGACTGCTTCATCCGCTCCACTGCACGCGTAGCTCTCCTGGCACATCAGCCTAGGGTTCAGGCCCTTCTCAGCTATGGAGGTCTGCGCACTCATCCTTGGCTTGGCAAGCACCTGATCCCACCACACAACAGTCAGCTGAGGCTTGGGACAGCACAGCACGTCCACAGGGTGCTGAGGACCTGAAAGGGAACTTGCACCAGGGTTGGGTTACAGGGCTTCAGGCTCCCACTACTGTTGGGGCTTGTACTTTTCAGCTTCCAAGACTCTTGCATCAGCAGCAACGGTGACTCGGTCGAATTGATCTGGTAGTTGCCTGCAGCAGGCAGTGCAGGCAAATAGGTTGTGAGAATGAACTTGACAGGCTCTTAGATGGCTATGTCTGAGGAATTCCTGCACAGAAGCTCATCGCTTGTGCTGGTGGGGCCTGAATGGCCAGCAGCCTTCCAGTTGAATCCAGCCTCAAGTCAATACTTCCAGGGATGCCTAGAAGAGAGGAAAGAAGAGGATTTTACTCATGTAAAAAGAATAAATAAATAAGAACAGAAGTGCACCTTAAAAAAATTATGATAAAGGGGCCCAGTGGCATGGCGTAGCGGCTAAAGTCCTCCCCTTGAAGGCTCCAGGATTCCATATGGGCACCGGTTCTAATCCCAGCAGCTCCACTTCCCACCCAGCTCCCTCCTTGTGGCCTGATAAAGCAGTGGTGGATGGCCCAAAGCCTTGGCACCCTGCACCTGTGTGGGAGACCCAGAAAAAGTTCCTGGCTCCTAGCTTCAGATCAGCACTGCATCAGCCGTTGCGCTCACTTGGGGAGTGAATCATCAGAGGGAAGATCTTTCTCACTGTCTCTCCTCCTCTCTGTGTATCTGACTTTCCAACAGAAATAAATCTTAAAAAAAATTATGATAAAAACCCAGGCCAACATTACTAAGGAAAAATTCTATTTAGGCTTGTAAAACTTTACACAGGCTTTTTTCTAATACTAGAAATTTCTTCTCAAAATCAAAACCAATGCTGCTCCTGAAAAACATCCACCCTTGCAGGAGACTTTACTGCCCTGTTTCTAAGACTGTTTAGTTACTAAATTCAATCGCTTCGGCCTTTTGGCTAAGATCAAGTATAGTATCTGTTCTTATCAGTTCAGTTACTAAATTCAGAACTGAAACCCACTAAGCAGAAACTCCCTGAAAGAAAAATCCCCTGCACCCCACACCTGGGAGAGGTGAGGAAGAGGCCTGGAAAAAAACGAAAACACCAACGTAATAATAAAACTTGAGATCCACCAAAGACACTGGCAGATCTGGTTACCCTCAAAACTCTAGCCAATTCTAGAGAGATGCCTATTAAGGATTCTAAATCTGGAAAAAAACACAGCCACAATTTCATGGTCAAAACAATACAGTAACTAGTGTACTTCCTTTTGTCCCTCTTTCCCAGTTAAAAAGAAAAAAAAAGGGGGGTGTCACAGCAACAGGAGACAGAATTCCTCTGTTGGAGTCACTGCAAAGCCAGGCCTCAGGGAGTCAAAACAACTTTTCTCTTTGTCATTCAAAATCCAACTTAAAAATAACTTCAGGACCATTACATTCCCCACTCCTTTCCAGCCTTGCCTCCACCCAAGCCCCCAGGACAGTGTGCAGGGGCCTTCAGGCAGTCCCTGGTCCTAAGCAATCTACCAGACTTATCTTTGGATAAACAAGGAAGGCCAAGGGAGGGACTAGGAGGCTTATTTACATAGCCAGCTCCCAAAACAGAAACAAACAAACAAACAAAAAAATCAAAACTTGTCACAATTGTGAAAAAATATAAAATCCACTTTTCAAAACCAACACCTCACACCACCACCACCACCACCACCACCACCACCAAAACCACCACCTCGCCCAGCACGGGCACCCTTCACCTCAACGCACCCCTCCAAGCCAGGGGTTCCTCACCCTCCCGTCCTCCCGGGCAGCACCACCACAACCAGGAGGGTAACAGCGAAGCCTAAGAACAAAGACGGTCACCCCAAATCGCCCCCACACCGCCAGAGCCCAGAGCCGAATCCATTGTTTATGCCACCCCACCCCCACCCCAGCCGCACCCGGCCCCCCTTCCTCCCGGGGGCAGCCGGAGCCCCAGGACGGTCGCTTGGCCCCGCGCTGGGCCGTGCCGTCCCTTCCCTGCCCGCGACGGTCCGGGGACCCCGCCACCGAGCACCTTCGGCCGCAGCGAGGACGCGTCCTGGGGCCGCGGGACGCCGGTGGGGGCGGGGGATGTTTCTCAGGGCACCGGTGGATCCATCCTCATCTCCTCCATCTCCTCCTCCCTCCTCCTTCGTTGCCTCCCGGGCTTCCTCCTCTCCTGTTGTCAGTTGGGATCAGCTGATCGGAGTGAACTTCTCCCAGCTCCGACTAACAGGAAGGCGTGAGCGGTGCAGTCCAGGAGGGAGGAGCGGGAGGAGGAGGAGCCTGGCGCCGGCGGGGGCGGGGAACGAACGCACAGTCTCCTGGGAGTGGTAGTTCTCAGCGACGCGTTCTTAGGCTTACTTCCCGGAAGTGAGGACGCTCAGGTGACTACGACTCCCAGGAGCGCCGAGGACGAGTCCGCGGTGGAGAGCGACCGAAGGGGGCACTTCGGGACTTGCAGTTTTCGCAAGGACTGTAGTCTTGGGGTGGGGGGGGGGGGTTCTTACCTAACACATTGGTTTGGGTAGTTGGCTTGGAAAAGAATGGCGCTAAATTAGAGAATTGATGTAGTTATGTTTGGTACAAATGGAAGATGGAGAGACGAATAATGGAATTTCGAGTACCTTGCCAAGGTCGCTTCAGAAATCTATAAAAACAGATTGCCTCCACTTCCCTATGTCATTCACCACAAGCCAGGAAAAAAAAATATCATTCATAAAGCATTGCAAGTATTAGGAAGGAATATTTTTCTTTTTTCTTAAAATGTATTTCTAAAATTATTGACCATTAACTTTTTTTTCCTATTATTTTTAGAATCATATGTACTTCCTGACTTCTGAATTTTAAATTTTAATCTTTAGGTGAGACAGGGATATAGTTAGATACACATTCAGGCTACCATGCTTAGTGGTGGTTTCACGTTGAATTTTTTAACATGGCCATATGTTTGTGTAGCACTTGCACTTTTTTTTTTTTTTCATTTATTTCTGGGAACAACATGGAGAGAAAATCTCGTGTGCTGAGAAAAGCGCGGGTCTGTGATGCCCGAGATGGATGGATGTTGTGACACTGTGCCCAGCTCTAGGGATGGCCAAGAGTCAGTCCCTCAGCCTCTCCATGCAATGCAGGAACTGGACCTTGTCATTTCAGAGGGCCCTGCCAGTTGTTACACTTACTGCAGAGGGCCCTGCTAGTTGTTACAATCTTACTAGTTGTAAGATTCTATCTTGATCATCCTTAACCAAGAGGGAAAGGTAAGCTTAAGGGCTTTCCCAAGGTCACACAGAAATTATTGACAAAGTTGAGATAAGACCCCACCTGCTTGAAGGCAGATTCTTTATCTTATGCTAAGACTACCTAACAGTGAATGAGCCCTGTCTGGGGGTTACACGGCTAGAAATGATGTTGTGAAGACGCGGCCAAGAGCCACAGACCCACCAAACGCACAACTGAGGTTTCCAGTCTATGGCGGATAATAGGGTACTAATGACTGAGGTGTAGCAGGCACTGTAAAATGTAAGTCTCCTTTAGAATAGAGAGTGTGGAAAAAGTTGAGGAGGGATCTCACAAACAAAAATTAAGGTGAGAGACACCAGTGCAAATTCTTGAGAATGGCTAGTTAGAATGCCATGATATGCTGCTGTAAGTTGTTTTGTTTTGCAACTCAGATAAACAAAGAGGAAAATCTTCCATGTGTTGATTCACTCCCTCACCAAGCCACAAGCAGGAAGCTGAAAGGGAAGTGGGACCACGGAGACACTAACTGGTGCCCATATACATATGTAGCTGAATCTGGACATGGAGCAGCAAGAACTTCAAAGGAGAATCCTCATGGGATGCTGACACTACAGATGGAAGCTTAGCTTATGATGCCACAGCATCAGCTCATAATTTTCTTTTAAGATTTATTTATTTTTATTGCAAAGTCAGATATACAGAGAGGAGGAGAGACAGTGAGAAAGATCTTCCCTCTGATGATTCACTCCCCGGGTGACCAGAATGGCTAGTGCTGCGCCAATCCGAAGCCAGGAGCCAGGAACCTCCTCCAGGTCTCCCACACGGATGCAGGGTGCCAAGGCTTTGGGCCATCCTCAACTGCTTTTCCAGGCCACAAGCAGGGAGCTGGGTGGGAAGTGGAGCTGCTGGGACCAGAACTGGTACCCATATGAGATACTGGCACATTCAAGGCAAGGAATTTAGCTGCTGGCCACAGTGCCAGGCCCCAGCCCATAATTTCATGAAATACTCATAATCGGGGGCCAATCTGAAGCCAGGAGTCTGGAGCCCCTTTTAGGTCTCCCTTGTGGGTGCAAGGTCCCAAGGCTTTAGGCCATCCTCCACTGCATTCCCAGGCCACAAGCAGGGAGCTGGATGGAAGTGGAGCAGCTGGGACATGCCACATGGGATCCCAGCACGTGCAGGGCAAGGACTTTGGCCACTAGGCTATTGCACTGGTCCTGTCATCTCTTTAATAAACATTTTACTTTCAAAATTGTCCTCTCATATGTTCATTTGTCTCAGACTTTGCCACAGATAGAGTAAGAGCTCAAGGCTCCTCTCAGCTGATACACAAGTTCCGGGTTACTGTCACCCATGGAGACTAAGTTGGAGCTCCTGGCTCTGTGCTTCCACTGTTGTTGACTTTGGGGGAGTGACTTATAGATAGAAGACCTCTTTTTCGCTATCTCTGTCTTTTCCTTTCTCTCTATGTATCTTCTATCCTATATGGGCACCAGTTCATGCCGTGGCTGCTCCACTTTGAATCCAGCTCCCTACCAATGGCATAGGAGGGCAGTGAAGGATTGCCCTACTGCTCGGGCCCTGAACTCACTTGGGAGACCTAAGCTTCTCTCTTGCCCTGGCAGTTGTAGACATTTGGGGAGACCCAGTAGATGGAAAATCTCTCTCTCTCTCTCTCTCTCTCTCTCTCTCTGTCTCATGCTCTCTTAGTAACTCTGCTTTTCAAATAAATAAATCTCTAAAAATCAAACAAAGGTCTTCACACAAAGTTAACAATAACAGGAGATACAAAAGGCAAGTAGAAAAAAATGAAAAGAAAAAAATTAAAAGGCAAAAAAAACAAAAATTAAAAAAGAAAAAGCAAGGGGCCCGGCGCGGTGGCGCAAGTGGTTAAGGTCCTCGCCTAGCACGCCCGGGATCCCATATGGGCGCCGGTTCTAATCCCGGCAGCCCCGCTTCCCTTCCAGCTCCCTGCCTGTGGCCTGGGAAAGCAGTCGAGGACGTCCCAAAGCTTTGGGAACCTGCACCCTGTGGGAGACCAGGAAGAGGCTCCTGGCTTCGGATCGGCATAGTATCGGCCCGTTGCGCTCACTTGGGGAGTGAATCATCGGATGGAAGATCTTCCTCTCTGTCTCTCCTCTCTGTATATCCGCCTTTCCAATGAAAAAATAATAAAAATAAATCTTTTTAAAAAAAAAAAAAGAAAAAGCAAAATTTGAAAAGTTAAAAACAAGCCAAAACAAAAAGGCAAGTAGAAGACAGTATTCTGTTCACACCTAATCCCATATGTAAGTGTTGACATGTTGACGTGGACTTTGTGCAATGAATGGGCTGCTGCCAAGGACCTTGAGTCCAGATAAATGGCAATAGGAGAGATACATTTAGAATTCAGAATGGGGCCTTTGTTTACAAGAGGATTCCTTATTAACATTCTAAAATGGCTTGAGTCGCAGAACACTCACAGGTGGGAAAAACACAGCAACAAGTGCTGAACTGACAGGAAATGGAAAGTATCTCACCCGGTGCACTAGCCTAGTGGCTAAATACATGCTTTGTCACCGCCAGGAGCCCATGTGCCAGCTGCACCACAGCTCTTCCAATTCCCTGCTTGTGGCCTGGAAAAGCAGTAGAGGATGGCTCAAAGCCTCGGAACCCTGTGACAATGGACAGGGCCCATGCTAAAGTCTGTAGGATTGGTAAGCACATTCAGAGAATGGAAACCAAATGCTTAGTCAGTACAAGGCAGCCTTGGGATAGCCTGGGATCTCCCTTTGCTGTGTTTAAGAGTGGCCTGGAAAGAGCTTGCCTGCGTGCCAGGGAGGAAGAAGCAGAAACCTGTGTGCGTGACTCCAGATGGGCTACACTTTAATCCGGATAAGCAGCGGAGGGTGGTCCAATCCCTTGGGACCCTGCACCCGCATGAGAGACGCCGAACAATCTCCTGGCTCCTGGCTTCAGACTGGCTCAGCTCTGGATGTTGTGGCCATTTGGGGAGTAAACCAGCAGATAGAATCACTTTGTCTTTGTATTCCATTCTGTCTAACTCTGCCTTTCCAATAAAAATAAATAAATCTTAAAAAAACAAAAACAAAAACAGAAACCTACCATCTGAGACTGGAGCACTGTAGCTCTATGCTGTCTCCAGTGTCTGAGCTCTGAATTGAAGAGGTCCCAGGCTGGTGGTATTCTCTGGCCGCCCCCCGCCCCCCCCCCCCCAAGAATACTTCTCTGAGGATTGGAGCCCAGTTCAAACAGCCATAAGTTAAATTCAGGTAAATTGCAACTCGTATAAATAAGTCTTCAGAAATAAGAACCAGTAACAAGCAAGCATTTAAATAATTTTTTTTTAAGATTCATTTATTTAAACAGTCAAGTGACAGAGAGAAGAAGAGAGATCTTCATGTGCTGAGCCACTACACAAATGGCCCCAAACGCCCAGGCCGAGGCAGCCTGAAGCCAGCCGCCAGAAACTCCATCTGGGTCCATCCCGTGGTTGGCAGGGGCCCGAGTTCCCAGGTCGGCATCGACGGAGCGGTGCTCTGCGATGGAATGCTGGTGTCTCAAGGATTGCTTTAACCAACATGCCTCAGCGCCAGCCCCAAGCAAGGGATTTTTATCTTGCTTAGGATCTCAGTTATGGGAATTATGAAATATAAAAGAAGCTGAAAGCAGAACTTTTCAAACAATATCACAGAGATTCATCATAAATGGATCTGAGGACCTGGCACAGTGGCCTAGTGGCTAAAGTCCTTGCCTTGAACTCGCCAGGATCCCATATGGGCGCTGGTTCAAATCCCAGCAGCTCCAGATCCCATCCAGCTCCCTACCTGTGGCCTGGGAAAGCCTGGGAAAGCCCTGGAACCCTGCACCTGCGTGGGAGACCTGGAAGGGGTTCCTGGCTCCTGGCTTCGGATTGGCTCAATACCAGCCATGGGGATCACTTGGGGAGTGAATCATCAGACAGGGGATCTTCTTCTCTGTCTCTC